CTCAAATTTTTTTTTTCGCTGTTCAGCTCGGGCGGGGGTATTTTGCCCTTTCACGGTCCCTTGTGTCTGTTCATGTTGAATGACAGTTCTTACTTGTTGAGTCCTGTAGGCTCCTGCGAATCTTCGAAATGGTGCGAGTGACCCCTTTCGTTTAAGGAGTTTACACTTTTTTCCAAAAGGTGACCTGTACAAACATAGCTGAGTTCCACTTGGTGCTCCCCCAAAGCCAAACGGCGTCCTTTTTTCTTAACAGATCGTAATCTATAGTCTCTTTTTAAGGATCTTCTTCACTGACACTGTGAACTTTTCATTCTGGCCTGATCGTGGATCTAAATATGACGTATCCTATGAAGGAACTAAATATACAGGATATTTCGCCGCATGTGCTGCCGTGAACAAAGTGAGGATCGGTTTTTACTGGTCTGTCTTTGAGTGTTGCTATATTTGTTATAACGTACCACGAAAATGTCAAGGCGTTAGATTCGGGCACAAACATCACGTCAGCAGAATGGATGGCCAATGCTACCGAGGCCGATGTGGACAAAATCTTCAAATCTGATGGAGGTATGTTCTCAGCTTTTCCGATTGTTTGTGCAGAATTGGTCGCTGAGTTACTTCCAGGTTACTCTATTCCACTGTTAACAGAGCGAGTCAAGGCAATCAACGAGTCAGGACGAGTACTTCTCGAGGTGAGTTTTCTATATGTCAGCTACTGTAGAAGAATTTCGCTGAAACAAAACAACTGTCTTTATTTGCTTGGCCCTAAGCTGAACTCAACTAATAATGAACCCTGTTTGCCGTAGTCCTAGGATAAACTGGAATATTCAAGGTAATTAGAGGCGGAGGTGGTAGTGACAGGTGCCGCGCTTACCACTCGCTCGGTCCTCGGTTCGAGTCCAGGATCGACACCCGCCCAACCAAACCTTTACCCGGGACGGTATTGGTACCAGATTCGTCTGGGAGGATAAGAACACTGACTTGTACATCGGCTGGCCCCGCAAGTCATTGTATAGGCCACATCGCATTCAATAAGCCACTACGATTCTGAATGGAAGTAGAATGCGTGCCGCATCCCACGAAAGATTGCATGCCGCATCCCACGAAGGGATTGATCAACGGCTTTTATCCTTAATTTACGGTAATTTGGGAGTTCTTCTGGTCCTGTCCACCCCGGCATAGCTCGGCCTTGTAGGGCGTCCTTCCGGTCACTGTGGATTATTGCCCATGCCTCTCGTGGGACCTATTAAGTTTGGGAATGTGACAAGATGTGCCGCGGTGGGCGTGTCGAGCGACGCAGCGTACGCGGTGGGCAAGTTGTCCTGTTCATCTGTTTGAATTCACGTATCGAAGGGAAAAGAAAGTGTGATATGACTCAGCATGCAGTTTTGTCTGTGCTTCAGTCCATATAATTTTTGCTGCTTTAATCGACAAAGTGGTGTATATCTTGATTCGCAGCGTACATACGTCGCGCGCGACGACATGACAAGTTACGATTGTCTTTTCTGTCTCTCTAATGACATACTTTTCTCAAGTTCGAATCAGTTAAGCTCGGTGGAGACACCGAATGACTAGCTAAGCATGCACATGCGATCACACGACGAGCTGCAAACTCCTCTGAGCAAAGTGGTTCACCCGTACTACGTACCATTTCGCAGCTTCACAGACGTTTAGAGGTATTTCCAAGATGAGACTAACTATTCAAAAAAAACTAACAAAGGACCAGCAATAGTGCAAAATGCCCCTCCAAGCCGAACAGGGCAACTTCGGTCTGATTAGGAATTCATCTTCAGAGTTTGGGCTCTAATCATGAATGAGACATCCGCGAAA